TCATTTAACCCTACAAGTAGTTAAAAATAAAATTTAAAAAATTAAACATATTGTTTCTATTTCAAATGGGAATGAATAACATTATATTGTTGGCAAGTAGCAACAGTTGGTGGCGGTATTCAAAAAGGGGATTATTTTGTAGGCGTTTTGTTAAATCTTTGTTTGAAAATGTTAACAACCTTTCTATTGCTGTAAATTTCTTGAATAAATTACTACCGTACTAAGTGTATTATATACGAAATTTTTTACTATTAATATAATAATATTGTTTTTGTTTAAAATATACATATTCAGCTAGCTGAATAGGCAAACAACTTTAATATTATGTTTTTAGACCTAATAAATTATAAAAATTTTTTTGTTTTCAAACTGTTATTCAGCTAGCTGAATATAAAGAAAACAAAATATTTATTTAGCAAAGTATTTATGAATGCGTATTAAAAACTGCTAATTCAGCTAGCTGAATATTAGAAAAGTTGTTTTATGAGCTAGCTGAATATAAGTAAAACCCAGTATAACTATTAATAAACCAAGCAAGTCAAGAGTTTTGGTTAATTAACAATAATTCAGCAGCTGAATATGTTGAAAAACTTTAAACTTACTTTACTTAAAGTCAAAAATCATTAAAATTAGATTCAAAGTGGTGATTCAGCTAGCTGAATTAAACAAATTCTCTGTTTAGGTGTTAAAAATGTGATAAAATAAGAATTTTGTTAAAACTCTTTAATTAAGCTAGCTGAATGTGATAAAAAGTTTAAACTAAAGTTGTAAAGCGCACAAATTTATGAAAATTCATTTTAAAATATAAATTCAGCTAGCTGAATATTATAAATGTCTATGTAAAAGTTACATAATTCAGCTAGCTGAATTAGCCAAATACTCTGTTTAGGTGTTAAAAATGTGATAAAATAAGAATATTGTTAAAACTCTTTAATTAGGCTAACTGAATGTTATAAAAAGTTTGAACTAAAGTTGTAAAGCGAACGAATTTATGAAAATTTATTTTAAAATATAAATTCAGCTAGCTGAATATGATAAAAAGTGTATGTAAAAGTTGATAAGCTGATAAAATGCCAATATTGATCTGTTAATAATTCTTTAAGTTATAGAATCTAAAGCTTTTTCAGCGCTTTAAGATAAATATTATAAAAATATTTAAAACTTGAACTCTAACCTAATATGAATAGTTTTGAAAAACACGCTCATTTTTAAAGTTTTGTTAAAAGCATAACCTCTTTTCACCATTTACAACTTTCCACAAAGTTTTAAAATATTCATTTTCATTTCCAACCATTGTATCGGTTAAACTTTTAATCCTGCTTTCACGCATAAATTGAAAAATATTGTCTTTTTTTATTTCACAAGTATTTTTAATAAATGTTTCTCCTTTTAAACCTTTAAACTAAATTCGTATTATAAAAAAAGTGTTGTATACAATGAATTGGTTATTTGATCATGACAACAATATTTTTCCTCTATTGTGAATTGTTTTGTATATATATATATATATTTTTTCACCTACATTTATATGGTTTATGCGTTGGTATTTATGGGTTTATTAAACCCTGCAGTTAGGGAATGATGTCCCGGAATAACAATCGCACTTTTTTAAGTAAAATTTAATTAACAGTAGTTTATTTCTGCTGGGCTCATAGTCTAATCTATAGGATTCTTCATATAGACTAGTCCTTAGACTAGTCAAATCCGTAGACTATTCTATAGACTAGTCCGTAGGCTAGACCATAACCTAGTTCATAGACTACTCCATAGACTACTCAGAATAGTTCAGAAATAATATAAGGTATACTTTCCCTTGATTACTTAGGAATGCTTAGAAACTATTCAGTTTCACTCAGCATTTCTCGGGAAGACTTAAAATGATTCCAAAAAAATGAACGAATTCTATTCAACCACTTCTTCAACAAAATTTCTGGAATACATTGACTCCCTTTAAAGATGCTGGGATATTTTCCTTCCATATACACATGTGTATAAATACCTTGAAAGCAAATCCTTGTTTTAATCTTTAACAGCAGCTGCTGGCAATTTTTATTTTCACTTTGATATTCAACCCATTCATTTATGGTTTCACAAAACGTTAATTTCGAAATAAAGTCATCATAAAAAAACCATACTCTCATACAGAAACAAAGAAAAAAATAACAACATATGTATGTGTATATGTCCTATACACGCATTTTAAACTTAGTTAGGTATGCATGTGTAGCTGTTATACAAAGTATGTGTGCATTTGTTGAAAAAGAGCAACAATGTTGTCTGCTGCAACAAATAACCGATATTGTACTTTCAATAATAGTAGTCGTATGAAAAAAACAAACTGAAATGTGAAAACTTTATTTCACTTTTTTCCCAGGTCCTTGGCATACAGGCAGGCAGGCGAAGCAAGGCACTCTCAAACGCAGCTAGAATCTCGCACATACAGCCTAGTATACTGTCTTTCTCCATCCGTCTCTCCACCCTTCTCTGGCTGCCAGTGAACTGTCATTTCAGTTTAAACTTTGTTGTTGAAACATTCATTTTAATTTTTTCTATTTTGCTCTGTTTTGTTTTTCAGTTTTATGTTTTACTACTCGTCTCTTGTTGTTTTTTATTACTTTTTGTTTGTGCCACATCTAGCCAAGGTTCCTATAGAAATGTTTCCTGTTTTTTTTTTTTTTGCATTTTATGCATTTTTTCCTTGTGCTCTTAATCGTACAATTCTATGGCTATAAACTCATTTGTTGCTAAATGTGTGAATGTGTGTGTGGGTTTTGTAGGTGGCGGTGTTGTTAAGGACAATATTGTTAGTATTGGTGTTGTTATTGGTGTAGTAGGTGTTACTAGTGGATAAATGTATTGGTGTTGTGTTTTTGTTGGCTACATGCTATTCAAACATTTGAAACTCTGCTTTATATAGTGTTGCAACAAGTTGTTTAGTTTATTTTTTCTCTCTCTGCCACTTGGCAAATGCTTTTATGATTACAATTTGCAAAAATATAAAGCCAGTTTAAAAACTCTTATATGTATATTTTTTCCTTCGTTCCCTAAAGCTAGAAGTTTAAGTAAAACGGATGTAAAACAAGATTTGAGTTTCTATACCAATTTTTTTCCATATTTGAAAGAAGATTAGCAATTTCTTATTTTGTAAGATTTTTTAATTACAAAAATTTAGCCAATGTTAATAAACTTTGTAGGCTTTTCCCAATCTTTTGCTAATATCCTGCTTAAAACTTTATCTGTTTGCTTTTATAACTTATAAGTAAAGTCTAACACATGCTCTTTTTTTTAACACATTACAAGCTCCACTGACTTTAAATATGTATATAAAAGAATTTTAAGAAATAAATCGTAAATGAACAAGTCACAAAATTTAAAAGTAAAAAAAAAACTTTTCTGGCTAATATTGTTTAGCTTAAGGGTCCTAATATGTTTAGCTGTCCCTCTGTCTTTCTTATATGTAATATATTACAAGTATAAAGTAAAAAAAGGAGCCAATTTAATGACAAAAATAAACTCACAAAAGTATCCCTAAATTAGTAACATTATTATTAACAACAACAATGACCTCGAAAAGGAACAAATATCCTACTTATACACACATAAAAAAACACTAACAAAATTTACTTGAAAAAACTTTGGCTATCCAGGCAATCTTCTAAATTAACAAGATGAAAAGATTAAACGGCAAGAACGGCTCAACTGGGTTTATAATATGTAATTGCTAGAAATGAATTGAAAAGTTAGAATTCAGCTAGCTGCATTCATACTAGTAATAAAGGTTTTAAATTAAGACATTGTTTAAATAATTCTAATTTTGCTATACTTTGATAAATAAAATTAATTCTAAAAATAGCTTTCAAATTCTGATTCAGCTAGCTGAATTTAAAAAAAAAAAAAATAATTTTTTAATGATCTTAACGTTTCTAATTTGAGATTTTATATAAAAAATATTAATTCAGCTAGCTGAATAGGCAACAAACTTAAGCCTTTCATTGTGAAATATAATAAATAACTAACATTTATTTAACAATTCTTATTCAGCTAACTAGAATATTCTAAAAAAATAAAATATATTTTAAAATTATCTAAAGGCTGTAAATTTATGATTTTGTATAAAAAATACTAATTCAGCTAGCTGAATAGGCAAAAAACTGTAGCCTTTCAATGTAAAATATAAAAATTACCAGCAATTATTTAACAAGTCTTATTCAGCTAACTAAAATATTATAAAAGATGTTATATGTATTGTTTAACGCGAATGGTGAATATTTATTGATTTTTTGATGTTTATTCAGCTAGCTGTATATGAGAAAGTACTGCTCAAGTACATATTAACAGACGTAAGAAATCAATACTGTGGCTTCATTATAAATAATACAGCTTAAACATAATATTTTCAAAAACTTATTTAAAAAATGCTAATTCAGCTAGCTGAAAATGAAAAAAGTTTGTTTAAAAATTAATAATGTTTGACTTTAAGAAACTAAACTTAGAAATTCAAATTCAGCTAGCTGAATATAATAATTTTTTTGTAAGCAAGTTATTTAAGTTAAAAATTTGTTAAATTTGGGTTTAAAATTCAAATTTATGTAGCTGAATATAGCAAAAAATGTGTAAATTAAACTTTATATTAAAAAAATGTTTAAATTTATTAAAAAAAAAACTTATTCACCTAGCTGAATATAATAAAAAGTTTGTTAAAAAGTTAATAATGTTTAAATCTAATAAAATAAATTTAAAAATTCAAATTCAGCTAGCTGAACATGATAAATTTTTCATAAACAAGTTATTTAAGTTAAAAATTTATAAAATTTGGTTTTAAAATGCAAATTTATATAGCTGAATATAGCAAAAAATGTGTAAATTAAACTTTAAATAAAAAAATACTTAAATTTATTTTAAAAAAATCTAATTCAGTTAGCAGTTTTCAATTATTAAGCTAACTTATTATTACTTTTCTTAATTCAAATTAGTTTTGACATTTTTTTATTTTTTTACAGCTAAAACATCAATAATGTGAAAGAAGATACTATAATACTGAAATTCTTGCCAGCCAGATTTTATTATGTTACCAACTTGATATGAAAATGGAATTACCTTTGCTGGTGAGTAGTGTACAAGTTTGAAGTGTTAGTTTTTATGTCAGGAAATTAAATTTAAAGTATCTTTAAAATTACAATCACAATATTAGTGATTAAAATTTAAAGGCAGTCAAAGTGATAGGGTAAGGAGCAGCTAGAAGGTAACTGACAAGTGACGTAATTAGATCTAAAGAGGTTCTTGTTCCAAAAGAACATTTTCTTTAAAGGGGAATTAAAACTTAAGCGTGATCCAGCACTAACCTGTATTGTCTTCTTCGATAGCTATCGCTACCTTGCTTGCCAGCGAATATAATAACTTAAGTGCTAATAAAAATTAAAAATAACAACTTGTATAAATTGGCTTATGCGAATTTTATTTTTCGAAGTCTTAAAAAGCAAATTTTATTACCAAAAAAAGTAACTATAAATTTTAGTTGCTCTGACTTAAACTTACACAAACTTTAAGTACTTGTCAATTTCTTTATTTGTTTGTTATACATACTTATGACGTCAAACTATTACTTACGTAGGAAAACAAGGTGGTTTAATATGTAATACTAAACATCTTTTAAACACGAGGGTCGTGTGCTTAATTTGAACAAATTTTATGCCTACAAATCCTTAAATATCTAGAAAGCTTAATAATTTGTTCTTATTATTTAAAGCTAATACAACCCTCGTTTTTTTATATATTTTAACATTTCGTTTGACAATTTTGCTGTTGGCTCATCAGCAAATAGCAAAAAAAAATTGGTTATAAAGAACAACAATCAATTAATTATATTAACACTAATTGTAATCAACAGGTATTTGCACGAACACGAAAACAGACACATAATATTAATAACAACAATAATAATAATAATGTGAAAACAAAAACAATATAATTATTTGCTTTTTTATCAATAAAATAACATTGAAAATAAACAGACGCACAAACTCACGTATGACGTTATAAAATTTATGTTTGGTAACCAAGAGCTACACAATTGTATCTAGACAAACATTTTTAGTTTGCTTTTGTTTTATAGGCAATTATTTAGATTAGTGTTTAGCGGCAAAGAGAACATGCCATATTTAGGTGTTTTGCAGCAGAGGTGGCAAAACAATAACTTGTCCCTTAAACTGAAAGTTTGAAATTATCGGTTATTTTTGGTTATGCTTATAATTGTTTAGGATTATTATGCACCCCTAGATAACATAACTTGACAATGTTTAAACTGCACTTTTACACACTTAAGCAAGTGAGAGCTAACGAAAGATTTCGCTCTTCTTAAAAGATTTGTATGAGAGGTCCTTAGACAGGCTCTTGTTTCAGGATAAATACTAAGTCTGTGATTTTTTGTTGTTGTTTTTTTCGATTTTTTAGCAAACTTTGTTGTTTTATATAAAGCTCACTCATACTATTACATATATCAAAGCTCTTTATTTTAAATGCTTCTTATTTTTCCAACAACAATTGATTATTTTAGTATTTATTTTGCTATATTTTCATCGATTTACGTTTATTTAATTTAAATTATCAATGCTCGTTGTAATAAGATTATTTTTGCTGTTATTGCCTATTAAACAGCAAAACACTCATCAGATTATTTGCCTAATTCAACTTTATTTTTATTATTATTATTAAATACTTAACAAGTGCATTATTATCAGTAATAAAAACAAAATTAAATAAATAATTTACTTAATTAAAATGAATTTTAAACTAAAAATTCACCACTGAAACTGCGAAAATGTTTAAAATAATAATAATAATAATGGTCAAAAAATACTGAAACGTCCACGTTTATGCATAATTTCAAGTTTATGGCAAAAAAAAATTTACTAACAATTCATACATGAAAATTTTGTAAATGCAAGTCAGGTGTCTAAAAAGCTTCAAAACACACACGGAGACATTTGCTTAGGTGATAATGACATTAAGATTTGAATAAGTTTTTTTTTTTTAATTTTCAAAGTCTATGAATGAGTTTGCTGACTGACTGACGTTTTATTGTATTGTGTTTGTGTGTATGTGTGAATTTTATGATCAAATAGACACATCGTTACCAACTTAACTGAACTTAAGTTAACTAAGTATATCAGTTCATTGTTAGATTTATTGGTTTTTGATTTGTTTTGCTTTTTTTCATTTTGTTTAAAGTATTTAAAGATTTTTTTATGAAATAAGCGTTTAATAGTAGCGCTTTTTATAAGTGTCACTTTTAATGAGGGCCATAAAACTTGAAACACACAAAATGATTGATGAATACCAAATTACTTATCTATACAGTTAAAGTATTGTTGTCGCTGTGTTTTTTCCTATTGTATTAAGTATTTTTTGCAAATTAAATAAAAAAAATTGATTTAACAGTGATGTCAACAAATTGCCAAGAATTGGCAGAAAACAAATTTTAAATACTTAACAACAAAAACTAACAATTGTTTAAAAAGGGTCGATCTTCTACATGTTAACTATTTTATATACATACATACTAAAATACGCATGTATTGCTAGAAAAATACATTTAAGTTTATTTGTACTTGTATCAATTTGATTTAATTTAATTGAAACTCATTTAAGGCACTCACACGCATTTAGTCTATAGCAGCAGTCTCAAACAATGAAGAGAAAATATACTATATACAAAATCAGAACACCAGACTGTTAAACCTCAAATCGCAAATTAAAGATAAAGTAGGCATACAGAAAAAAATAAATAAATAAAAATCTCAAACATAAAAGATACAAATGTAACTATTTGTGTGCATAAACCACACACGCCACAGGGTGGCGACAAATAATTGAGAACAAAAACATTTAATTTAAAGAACTATAATTTAGTCTATTGTCGAAACTATTATAGTTTAGGCTATTGTCTAGTCTTTTGTCTTCTTTATTGTCTATAGTTTTAATTATAGTTATATACTATTTATACTCTTCCGTCTAGTCTATAATCTGGCCTATATTATAGTCCAAAGTCTGTACCATATTCTAGTCAATAATCTGGATAATAGTCTAGACTAATTTACAATCTGTAATAAAATTTATTATATAGTCTAGTCTGTAGTCTGGATTGTAGTCTAGTATATAGGCTAGTCTATATTCTGGACTATAATCTATTCCATAGTCTGGACAATAATTTATTTTGTAATCTGGACTATATTCCGGGATATAGTTTAGTCTACTGTCAAGACTATAGTCTAGTCCACAGTCTGGACTATAGTCTACTCTTTAGTCTAGACTATAGTCTACTCTATAGTTTGGACTATATTCTGGTCTATAGTAGATTCTATAGTGTGGACTATATACTAGTCAATAATCTGGACTATAATCTAGTATATAGTGTGGATTATATTCCAGTCAATAATCTGGACTATTACCTAGTCTATAGTCTATGGACTATGATCTAGTCTATAGTCGGACTATAGTCTAGTCTATAGTCTGGACTATAATCTAGTCTATAGTCTGGACTATAATCTAGTCTATAGTCTGGACTATAGTCTTGTCTATAGTCTGGACTATAGTCTAGTCTATAGTCTGGACTATAGTCTAGTCTATAGTCTGAACTATAATCTTGTCTATAGTAGAGATGGTCTAAACAGTAGTCTAGTCTACAGTCCAGAAAATCTGGACCATAATCTAGTATATAGTCATTAGCTAGTCTGTAGTATGCCCTGTAGTATAGTCTATAGCCAAGTCCATAGTCTGGACTATAATCTACTTTACAATTGGACTATACTCTAGTTTGTAGAATATAATCTAGACTATAATATATACTATAGTATGGACTACATACAGTATAGTCTAAAGTCTGAACTATAGTCTATAATCTGGATTATAGTTCGGTCTATAGTTGGGATTACACTCTAGCCTACAGTCTGAACTATAGCCAAGTATATTCCACAATCAGGATTATAGTCTATACTATAGCCATCCATGTCCCTAATAACTTGAACCCTGCCTGTTGAGTGTGTGTAAGCATTAGTGTCAATCTTAAGAACATCTTGCTTTTATTCTTTTATATTTTTTTATATCTTCTACATACACACAATAAATACAACAACAAAACTTAAATACTTGTAAGTACACAATATACATATAGAAAAAAATGTCTAACTGTCTGTCTGTTTCGTCTAGCTGTCAAATGGACGGTTGTTCATTCAGTCTGGCTGGCTAAAAGTTTAACTGAAAATCTTTTTTTATTCTTCTTCTTTAAAGACGGATGAGATTCACGACATCAATGTGTTTTCTCTTTAGATTTGTTAAAAAATTCCCAAATTGAATAATTGACAAAGAAAGAATAAAAGAAAACGTACTCTAGATAGAAATGACATTACAGGCATCATTGTCAGCGTCATCATCATCATCGTCAAACTCATCAGTATAATAATACAGCACCCGCGCTGCCACCCTTTACATCTTGTATGGAATTTTGAAATTGCTGTGCGTGTGAATGTTTGTACATAGATATTTTCAGAGGGGATATACGGGTTGATTGGCTTGGTTCGAATGACTGACTTTGTTATCGTCTGCTAAGTTAGATATGACGACGACGACGAAGATGATGATTTTAAACGTACGTACATATGTTTGTAGGGCGGTTTATCTATCTAAATATGTTTCAACTACGGCATATTGATGTTTATATTTCTTTCTTTTTTTTCATTTTTTGTTATTATTTATCAAGTCTTTCCTTTCATTTCTTATATTATTTGCTTGTTTTTATTTGTATGTTTGAATACCGAAGCTGTCTATGCAAATATTTGCAAAATTCAAAATAATGAATAGAAAAATGATATGAAAGGTAACTTAACGTAACGATACGTAATGTGAGCTTTCCTACCTCTAGTCTCAAACTCCCTCTGACAGATTGTGTAGGTATGTGTGTGTGGCCGTTAGGCGTTGAAAGACAAATAAAGCTATTTATTGTCTTAGGCTCAAATGAAAAATGCAAATAATCTTCAAGGTATAGATAACGTTTGTGAACGAAATGAAGATATTATTTTTCTACTTTTTTTGTCTTTGCCACACTTGTCAA